ACAATACTAGGGAGGTTCTTACTAAGTACTGCATCGAGCTGGTGTCCACACTTTTGGGAGGATATGAACAAACTTTCAGAAAACAACCGCAGAAAACTGCAATATGATAATCCACATTATTACAAAGACACTAACAAAGCCTCAGCTTATTTCCAAAAAAGAAAAAGTATCACGGTCCCCATGTAGCTGCCTGAAAAAATAAAACTTAGATTTATATCTGGTGGCAGAAGCTAGTGAGGTTCACACTAGGAGTAAGAGAAAACTCAGCCACAGGGCTATTAATGAAGATTGCTGAAGGATGGGAAGGTTTCTCTGTTGCTGAAGGGATTTAAATCATTAACAGATGGCTTTGTAAAACCGCTAATTCATCTGGCCATTGGATACAAATGTAAGACATAACATTGCTATGCTTGCCAAAAATATTCATAATGGCTCCAGCCTAAGTTACAACTACAAAGTTAAAAGTTTGCTTTCCAGATCAGTTTTGAAGTTGGTATAAAGTGTTTACTGGACCAAAACAAAAATCTAACCTATTGCTAAATAGGAATCTACAGTTACTCCTGTGTGTGTGTGTATGTGTGTATTTAAAAAAAAAAATATTCCAGATATTTTAAACTTCTCCCTAAATGCTTGTTGCTACTTCCTACATACAGAGAACCGATATCTTTATCTAATACAATGATAAAATAATGCTCTCTGTAATAAAAGGATGTCTATTTTCCTCCTATCACTACTTATAGAAAAGTTTGTACTAATAAATTCTATAAGCCCTTGAGGATAAAGAAGTACAGGCAGTTATACTTCAGACCATTTTGCATATTTTAGTACGTGTACCTACCAACTCAACTGTTCTGCAGTAAAATGATGACATTTATTCTGTTACCATCTCTGGTTTTGCTACTCAAATCAAACATTGAATTTTGCCTTTTTTTTCCTTTTTTTTTTTAAATGGGTAATACACTGGTTTTATCTAGTTTACTTTTTAATTGGAATGTAAATAAGCAGCCATCCTATTCTGAAGACAATAACATTTCAATTTATCTGGAAAAATAAGTGATTTTATGGCACAATAATGCAAACTGCAATGCCTCATTTAGAGAACAAATGCATTATTCTGGTAAAGTACCGCAGCATTAGTTTCACTGTCTAAGTATTGATATTATAACACTATTGTTTGATATGAGATATGCTCTGTGGCAGATGAAAAATCCCCACACATCACATCATGCAACACCTGCAAAGCAGCTGCACACTCATGGGTACAACAATAACAAATAGTTAATAATCCACTAGGTTTTAATTCAGTAAGACAGTTTATATCCTACTATACTAAAAAACACAAAAGACTATTCTAAGTTTAAAAGCCTCTTCCACTTTAATGGATCTCTTTATTTAAAGATGGTTACACTTTTATACATCATCAAAGCAAATGTCAAAAGAAAACACAACCCAAAGGCCCAAGAATTTTTTCAGTCCTGTTGTAAGGCAGCACTCTCTGAACAGTAGTATTCAATTAGTTCCTCTATTTATGCTAAGTTTGACTACTACACTAACTAAAGGTAATGAAGGGTTAGGCATGTAAAGATTATTCATAAAGAAGAGATTTAGAATCCCAGCTGATACATTTCTTTCTTGCAAATATTTCAAGTAACAAATCAAATCAGCTTATGGTTCGATTTTTTCTGATGAAGCATTTACAAACTTGAAGAGGTGTACTACAGAAACCCAGTCACCCTGACGAATTAACAGTGACCAACAATGAATTGGTATATACGTTAATGACGGTTGTAGTTTTTAAAAACCCCTCCTAATGGAAACCATAATTTTTAGGTTGGCTAGCACTTGCAATAATATGTTGCTTTACATTTATCTGTCTTTTTAATTGGGCAGATACCAAGATTCAAGAAAACATCAACTAAAAAAAGTGAAGAATAGCAAATAGGGCAAGCTATATCATCTCCTGCAGTTATAACAACCAAGTCATAACCATACTCCATTTCTGATTGTTTATCAAAGCTAAGAAAAATCACACGAACTGGCAACTGTGGAATTGCTTATGAAAATCCACTTATAATGACAGTTGTCTCTAGCTAAATGTTTCAGCTCTAAAACTACTCATGTGCTTTTCCAATACGTTTTATTTGTGCTCTGTCCAGAAAAGCCACTACACACATTACAATTTTTATCACAAAAATTATGACTGGATTTGAAGCAAGGAGAAAAAACATATATTGTTCGAAATTTCAATGAAGAGTCTGTGAACACTATCTCCACAGGCGAGTTTAACACAAATCTCTGAAGTCTCATGTTAAAATTAACTGTACAGGTTGGACAAATCTTTATCATGTGGCTTTCCAGAACAACTGCAAACGTGATAAAAACTTAGTCAAATGAAAGTGTGCCAGCCCTGTTCCAGCTAATATCTATTCTGTTCACCTGCTGAAGCAAGGCAACACCTTTTCTTCCTTTTCTGTATAGATGTTTGTTTGTTCAGCTCGACACACGTCATCTTCACTGCTGAACTACTTTAGCATGCTCAGTAGCTGTTGCTGAAGTTTTACCCCCTTCAGAAGATCCAGACACCATCATCACACATGAAGAAATGATGCCAACTCTCATGCTTCCCAAAAAAAGACCTATCTTCCTGTCAAACCTGTCTTCCATAGTGAGGAGTAAGGGGAAAGGTTCGCCTTCTCTCCGTGACCCCAAGCCACCGAACCTCCTCGAGCAAGAGCAAACCATCTGCTCTCCCTTGCGTTTTGCCCTCTGCCAAACTGGACTCTCACTTCCCTAAAGCCTGACACTTGCCGCAAGTGTTATAAATGGGCCTAATTAGGATCCTAGTTGCCCATTAACTCTTTTATTATTCATGTGACATTTATGATAAATGCATTATATTACTTACAAATGCTTGAGGTGGCACTTACACACAGCAGCATAAACTTCAGAGCCATGGGAGAAGTCATTTAACAACAGGACAGACTAACTACACCAGTTACGATAACCACTCGCTCCAAGGGCATTTAACTCTTCTCGGTTCAACACGAGAAATAAAGTAGCTTGGCATTCCTAGAAGTGCAGGTGGACCAATCATTTATATTTCAATGGTAGTATCTTTTGCATCAGTGCAAGTGTCTCCAAAGATGGCTTTCTATAGCTGGAGAGTATTGTGCACTGCACAGACAGTTCATGAAATAGAAAAAACTCTGCCTTTCTCCAAAAAAAGAGTCTTCAACAACAGCAAAGTTGTGATTCCTCAGTGTTACCATATCCTTTTAATTAAATTGCAAAATTCAAAACAGAATAACCCCGATGAACATGAATTACACAGAAATGGGTTTGATTTGCATGTAACAACTGCTTCTTTTGGACTTATGAGAAATATGCTGCACTGTGTAGAGCATGGATTAATGTCCTGATTCAGCAATGCATGTGCATATTTAACTGCTCTTCTAAGCTAAGGCTAGGAGTAAATTGACTGGACAATTAATTACAATTCTTCTTTCATTTGCCAAAAAACCACTAAAGCTCTGTGCAGAATCAGCTATCCCAGACTTCTTGCATCCCTGAAGAGCTCTTAAAAACATCCATACGCACAGTTATCATTCTGTAATCCTCTCCAGTAAATTACACATTATTCACCATCAAACCTATCTGTGAAATCAGCCAGTACAAACTATTCATACTTCCTATAGATTACAAGCCTACAAAGAAATCAACTTCTAAAAATAAAGCATTGTTAAAAAAAAAAAACAAAACCACCAAACACCAATAATCATACTTTTGAAAGCGTCCTTGCTTTACATATCGGTACCATTTAACAGTTTGCTAAATGCTTATTCTTAAGTAAACAAACAGTAAGAAAAATGTACTTTGAAGGCACGGATAAAAATGCACAGGTATTTACTTTAGCAGTCTGCAAAGCCTGTTCTTTCGTTGTTACAATGTGAAGAAGCGGTGCAACTATTTAAATTCAATCACCAAGAGAGTTCAATGCACACAACAAATAAAAGCTGCATGTTATATCCTCTCCCGAATGTAAAGGCCAGCTCCACAGAAATAAATGTTGTAGCACCAGTAAATACTTTTTAACAAAACACATATGTGCCTGAAGATTAAAATAAAATAAAATAAAATAAAATAAAATAAAATAAAATAAAATAAAATAACAGACAAGACTTGGTCTTTCACATCCTGAAAGACCTATTTTCAAATACGTATTTTCACAGAATCACAGCATCGCTTTGTTGGTCATGAAAAGGTTGTTGGGGGAATAGGAAGAAAATCCCTAATTAGGATTTTATTGTAAACTGCCTAGTAACACTAAAAAAGAGTACCAACTATTTCAACAAAACCTAAAATACCAACCAAAGATCCTCCAAAATATAAAACGTGAAGACCTTTCTGGTATGAATGAAGAGAGTATGTAGTTAAGTTAAATAAACCCCTTTTATAAAGTAATTTATATTGCTGTAACATTCATTACTTATTTTTCGTATGATTGTATTTACAGTGCACTGTGGGATAAATTTAATTTCAAGCCAAAGTAATTTGCTTTTTTCTGCATGGTTTCTAAATAGCACTAGACCACTTATATTTCTGACTGCAGAAATAGTTGCATAGAAAGTCATTAATTTTGGTGACTCTGTAAAAATATTTAGACCACAGAATTGATAGCCTACAATAAACACTGAAATTAATCTAGGTTTCAATTCAATAATGCAAAGAAAGAATAAAAACTCCCCAATTTCTGTGAGAGCGTATTCCCAAATAACAAAAAGAACAACTGAAAATTCCCAGCCAACCTGAACATTGTTCTTTTTAACTGCTTTCCTAAAGGCTGCATCGAGGTTTTAAAATAGATCAAGTACGTTATTGGCGTTAGTCTGCTGAACTTGCTGTTCAGAAGCATCACCCACTTTTTCCAAAGCAAATTCTACAAAGGGAACATCACTCGTTCCC